GGCGCTTTGGGGAGCCGCGCACGGCCCCTCGCTGCCTGGTGGTGGCGCCCTGGTGGCCGCGCGCCCTCCCCCTCGTCGTCCCCCGTGCTCCTTTCCCCCTTTCGCCGTGTTAGGGTTTGGGGGTGAGGAGTGTGGGGGTGGCGGCTATGGGGGTGTCGGTTGTGCGTTCCTCCCCTACTCCTCCTCCTCCCTAGTCTCCCTCTACTGCTACTGCAGCTGCCGCTGAGGGGGGTGGATGTGTGGGAGCCGAGGTTTAGGGTTTAAGGGGGGTGCCGTGGGAATGGAGCTAGGGTTTCAGCAGTGGGTGTGTGGGGGGTGTGTGGGGCAGTTGGAGGAGGTTGAGCGGAGGTTGCCGTCGTGTCGTCCGCAGCACCTGTATTCCGGGGCCTTTCTCCTCCCGGTAGCTCAGAGAGCCGGTTGCACCTGTCGCCCGTGGGTCCGTTGCTACTGTCGTGGCTGATCAGTTGCAGAGCCTGTTACTCCTGTATTCCGGGGCCTTTCTCCTCCCGGTAGCCACCAGCGTTGCACCAGAGCCGTCTGTTGCCCGAGTGTCTGCAGCTTCAGTCGTCGCCTCCACTCTTCTCTCATCTCACCAGCCCTCCTCCTCCTCGCTTGCCCTCTGTGACAGCTTTAGCTTTACCCATAATTGTGAACTTTAAACTTTTGCTTCTTGTTCATGTGCTCAGAATGTGTGGTGACATCGTGATCCACCCTGAGCTTGTACTGCTTTGCTTGCTGTGCTGATTACACCAATACACCCCACTTTGGCTATGGGGGTGTGTCAGAATATTATGCTCTAGCCTGCAGTGGGGTGCTCTATAGCGAGTACAGCCCTTCTAGGGTTAGCTATTTGTACCACCGTTGTTGCTAGTGCAAAGCCTCTCTTTCGTTCAATTCTCTCTTGCCTAGCTAGGGTTCTCCTAGCTATGGCCTCTCACTGTACCTACTATAGGCTCGAGGGTACAAATAGGAGACAAAGGAGGTGCACCACCAATACAAAGAGTTTATAACTACACTAAAGCTACAGCTACAGGCAGGTACATAAATATATATAAATATATATTCTAACACTCCCCCATAACTGCCTGCAGCAGGAGCTTGTGCAGCAACAACTCCTGGATGGGTACACCACGAACAGAGAAAGCAGCAACAGGAGGCAAGTGCAATGACAACCAGTGCAGTGGTGGCAGAGACAGCTGCAGCAAGCCCTGAGGCAAGAAAGAGAGAACGAAGACGATGTGCTGTGGCGCGCTTAGTTTGCAGCTCAACAGCAAAGAAGACGAACGAAGACGATGTGCTGTGGCGCGCTTAGTTTGCAGCTCAACAGCAAAGAAGACGAACGAAGAGAGAGAAGCGTCAGGGGCTGCAGAAGTAGGTGCCACATAGCAGTGGACGGCAGCTGCAGATGCGTGGCTACTGGTTCCACCACTCTCTCTTACCCTCCCTTAGCATCTCTCATCCCCCCCCCCCTCCTCTCCCCGACAGCAACAAGTGCTGCAGGGAGAGAGTAAGAGGGAAGGAGAGTGGGGGAGGGACGAGCTACTGGTGGTTCACACCCTCCGCCCCCAGAACTCCCGTCCCCCCCCCCCCCCCACGGCGGAAGCTGCGGAAGGGAAGGGGGGGGGGGGGGGGGCGGCATACGGAGCTGCCGGCGCCGGCGTCCCCTGCTGGCGCAAGCGCTGGCGTGCGCGGATGGCGCAGGCGCTGGCGCCTCGCGGCTGGCGCAGCGCTGGCGCTTCGCAGCTTGCGCACGCGCTGGCGCTGCGTTCCGCACTGGCGCTGGCCGCGAAGTGCTGGCGCAGGTGCGGGCGTTGGCGCGGACGACGGGCAGGGCGACGCGGGCAGAGTAGGGCGCATCGGGGCGCGACAAACTGGAGGGCGCACGGGGCACGACGAACAGGCAGAGCAGGGCGCAGCGGGGCGCGACGAACGGGAGGGCGCACGGGGCGCGACTCGGGTGACCCGCGGGGCGCCGAAACGTGGGGCCGCGGGCGACGGGAAGGAGGGCGCACGGGGCGCGACGAGTATGCCTTCGGAGCGCGAATCGAGTGGGGCCTGCAGAGAGCGAAACGCGGGACCCATGATCCTAAAAAAAAAATAGGTCCTTAGGACCGATTATTGCTCTGTACCATGTCAAGAAGCTAGGCTAGGTTAGGAACCTAGGAGAGTGGCGAGAGAGTGGAATGTCGAGAAAGAAGGGGGGTTCACTATAGGCTCGAGGGTACAAATAGGAGACAAAGGAGGTGCACCACCAATACAAAGAGTTTATAACTACACTAAAGCTACAGCTACAGGCAGGTACATAAATATATATAAATATATATTCTAACATATATGTACTCAACTGCCTGCTAGTGAAAATCTCTCTTTCCTGTTCTAAAATCGTTTCGCCTACTGTTTTGACAGAATATACCCCTTAGAGTACATGGCTAACTAGGGTTTCGTATTCCCCTTCCCCCCCCCCCCCCCCCCCCCCGTACTCATATTTATATTAGCTGTATTTGCATGTTTTACTAATCTCAAGCATTTTACATTCACTTTGCTATCGAGGTCAAGGGCCCACCACCACACCTACTCAAGTGAACCTTCCCGAGGTGATCCTAGGGTCGATCATCTTCTGATCGTAACACACCTCATCGAGTAAGAAGGCACGGGGGCACGAAAAGCCGAAGGGTCTGTACAAGTTGTGGTTGAAGATGTTTGGGAGCACCAAACATTCGAAAGGTAAAAGGTGGGAGCTCGTTTGACGTGGCTTCTCATGTCGCAGGGCTTCTATGTAGGTGCAATAAGGGTTTAGAACTATACTTAAGCAATTTTGTTGTTCAAGTTAAAGTATTATCATAGTATTACTATAGGTTTGTGTTACTGCAGCACATGTCCCTTTGCGGGCAGACAAGCGACAAACCCAGTTTGGGGCGATTTTCCACGCCAGGCAGAACATTTTACGCCTACCTGAGCCCTGACCTGACCCGACAGGAAGACAAGACACCAAGGGACGTCAATCACCCTGGTCATATTTGTTGAAAATGAGCAGCAAACCGAGGAGGAGCTAGTAAGTAAGGCCGACGGCAGGCACGGAACTGAGCGAAGCCACGCAGCCTCGCAGCAACGGTCAGTAGCGTCCTTGCCACATCGATTTCCTGGTCCGAAAACTGGTTCTTGCAGCCATTTGTGCTGGCGGCGCGTAACGTATCCGTTCTTCAGTAAACCATACCTACCCATACGTGTTCACCAAGCCAATCTGCCGTCCGCGTCTTGGTACCGTACAGCACCGTAACACGCGCCCCGCGTCGCATGGCGCGCGCGCCGTCGCTATGGAGCGGATGCCCGCAGTCCGCGCGGGGAATTGCGGGACGAATGCGCATCGGGTGTGCGTGCCTGTAGAAGCGTCGAGTGCGGCGCAGAGTGCGCGCAGGGAGCAGCGGCGTACCGGTGCCAGCGTCTTCGCCAGTCGTTGCGAGAAAGGCTAGTAGCGGGAGTTCCGAGTCAGCCAGTAGGGCAGCGGCGGGTGGCTCGCTCGGGCTGGTAGCGTAACGTGCGGCGTAAGACACGAGCCCGAGGAATGAAGCCGCCGTATTGTTGTCGTCTCGCCGTCTCGCCGTCTTGCCGCCGGGAGAGGTCTTAGCCATCATCTGCATGCATGGTCGCATTGTCTGATAGTCGCCTATTCGTCGCATAATCGCCTAGTCGCATCGTCGCATGTTCGCCTAGTCGCATCGTCGCCTGACTTCGTGGGGCGGCTGCAGTCGCGAAATGAGCGCGACCACGCAATAATTTCCACACTAGCAAGTCCAGCAGCTGTAGCGCGAACCACCGCAGGCCCCAGCGCTGGATGTAGCGGCGGCGGAGGCGGTAGGACCAGCAGGGGGTAGCAGCTGCCGGCAAAGCCTGCTGGGTTATTTTTAGAATTCTCAAAAATACCTCTGAGCCAGTCGCTGATCTCCATCCGTCGCTTGTCTCACCATCCTTCCATCCCGTGACACCACCCACCTGTACTCACCTTTTCCTCTACCCCACACCCGACTTCCCATTTCCGCTCTCCGTCCCCCTCTCCTCCTCCATCGCGCCGTCCGCGCCATCCGCGCCGTCCTCCCCGTAAGCCCAGTCCCACTCAGCACACACTTACCCCAATCACTACATCATCCTACCTGAAACCCCAACCCGAACCCTAACCCTTAACCTATCCCTAACCCTAACCCTAATCAGCGTGACCCCAACGCTAAAGCCAATGTTGCGGCGGTTTTTCCACCGTCCCAACACCAACTCGTGCCTGTACCTCATAATCGGCTTCCAGCTTGGATGGATTTCAACCTCCTTCCTCCTCTCCCAGCAGCAGCTACAAGCGCAACAGCAGCACGACCCCTCCCCCTTCTCCCTCCCCCACCCCCCCCCGCACGACCCCCCCCTGCGCCTCCCCCCCCTGCCACCGCTCCGTGCGCTCGCTGGGGGACTGGGGCTGGCGGGGGCGGCGGCGGGGGGAGCAGCTCCGCGGATGGCGCAGGCGCGGGGAGCGGCGGAGGGGGCGCGGGGGGGGCGAGCGCGTGTAACTTATCGGCGGAGGCGATTGAGAGGCAGCAGGAGGCGATAGTGGGGGTGATGCAGCAGCAGGAGGCGGAGATGAGGCGGCTCAGGCGGCAACTGGTGGAGGGCGCTGCTGGGGGCGGCTCTGCTGTGAACGGCAGTGGGGATAGCGCCGGTATGCCTTTCTTTTTTGTGAGAGTGCTTACAGCCACTGCTGCTCGGTCCGTTTGTTCTGATTGTTGCTCGTGGGCCTTGCTGCTCTGCGGCTTGCTTCTCTGCACATCGAATTGCTGTGGCTGCAGTTCAAGGGGCTGTGTTGTGCCACCACCACATGCCTGGCCTTGCACTCGCTGCCTCACCGCGCCCTTCCACATCCTACACCCTTCTCACTGCCTCAACGCACCTCTCCACCGTGCCCTCGTTCCTTGCCATTTCACGCCACGCCCTCCTTTGTGTGGCGCCCTTCACGGTGCCATCAGGTGAAGCACCGTGTGTGCGGGACCTGGCTCGCAAGAATGGCACTCTCCATTGGAACCCCAAACCACAGAGGTGAGACACAAGGTGCGGAGGTAAGCGTGTGGGGGTGTGGAAGAGAGTGTGGGGATGCAGCGAGGGTGCATAGGTGCAGGCAGGCATTGGTAGGAGGCAAGCAGTTTGGCTTTCGCTCGCACTCCCTCCCTGCCTCCCTCCCTCCCTGCCTCCCTCCCTCCCTGCCTCCCTGCCTCCCTCCCTGCCTCCCTCCCTCCCTGCCTGCCTGCCTCCCTCCCTCCCTCCCTCCCTCCCTCCCTCCCTCCCTCCCTCCCTCCCTCCCTCCCTCCCTCCCTCCCTCCCTCCTCCCTCCCTCCCTCCCTCCCTCCCTCCCTCCCTCCCTCCCTCCCTGCCTGCCTGCCTCCCTTCCTCCCTCCCTCCCTCCCTCCCTCCCTCCCTCCCTCCCTCCCTCCCTCCCTCCCTCCCTCCCTCCCTCCCTCCCTCCCTCCCTCCCTCCCTCCCTCCCTCCCTCCCTCCCTCCCTCCCTCCCTCCCTCCCTCCCCCCCCCCTCTCCCTCCCTCCTCCCTCCCTCCCTCCCTCCCTCCCTCCCTCCCTCCCTCCCTCCCTCCCTCCCTCCCTCCCTCCCTCCCTCCCTCCCTCCCTCCCTCCCTCCCTCCCTCCCTCCCTCCCTCCCTCCCTCCCTCCCTCCCTCCCTCCCTCCCTCCCTCCCTCCCTCCCTCCCTCCCTCCCTCCCTCCCTCCCTCCTCCCTCCCCCTCCCTCCCTCCCTCCCTCTCCCTCCCTCCCTCCCTCCCTCCCTCCCTCCCTCCCTCCCTCCCTCCCTCCCTCCCTCCCTCCCTCCCTCCCTCTCCCCCCCCCCCCTCCCTCCCTCCCTGCCTCCCTCCCTCCCTCCCTCCCTGCCTCCCTCCCTCATCTCTCCATTCCCCGGTTGCTGCCGCTTATACAGGCGACCATGGCCTTGTTAGAATATAGTTGTGGCACCTCCCCCTCCCCCCTCGCTCCCTCCTCCTAAGGGCCATTCCGCCCTCCTCCTCCTCCCCCCTCGCTTCCTCCACCCGCTGCCGCCGCCGCAGCTCTCCCGCTGCCGCCGCCGTCTCCCTTCGCCGCCGCAGCTCTCCCGCTGCCACGGCCATTTCCCCGCTGCCGCCATCTCGTAGCGGCCTCCTCTGCACCCTCACCTGCAGCCCCCCCCCCCCCCCCCCCCCCCCCCCCCCCCCCCCCCCCCCCCCCCGGGCTGGCGTGCGACCTCAACGCAGCAGCCCCTCCTTCGGCTGGTGTGCCGCATCATCCGCTGCAGCCCTCCCGCTGCCGCCGCCTTCCCCCTTCGCCGCCACGACCCTCCCGTTGCCGCTCTGGCCTTTCCGTCGTCGCTGCTGGTTTGGGGCACCCCAACCCCCCTTATGCCACAATTGTTGGGGGCCACTTTGGTGGCCCTTGCCAACCAATTATTGGTCCGCCAATTATTGGTGGTGCATCCCAACCATTATTGGGTAGCCAACAATGTTGGCTAACCAATAATTCTGGGAGCTCACCTCCTAGTTTCCTCACTATTCCTTCTCCTATGTAAGCCCAATGTTTCCTTAGTACAATTAACTCTTGAGTTCACCTATCATCCCAACTATGGGATTCTCACAGGCCTTATTCACATGGTTCGCTTCTCTCTGCACCCTTTTTTACCTCCCTGTCTTCAACATTCCCTTCCCCTCCCAACGCACCCCTGAACCCCTCTGCAAAACCTCCATCAACCCACTGTCCCTTTTCCTGGTTCCCCTTTTCCATCCCACGCCCGCCCACTCCCCGCCCTCCCGCTTCCTGCTCCCTTACCGCCTCCACACATGCGGGGCAAGCAGGTACCTGATAGCGATGTGTTCGGGCGGGCAGCTGAGCAACCGCCTGGCGTGTGTGCGGCAGAGCATGCTGGACGCGGCGCTCATGAACCGCACTCTCGTCTTCCCCACGCAGGGGATTGACTATGATTATGACGCCCTGCTCGGTGCGTGCGTGCACCGTGGGCAGTGCTGCGCGGTGCTGTGCGGTGCATGGGGGCATGGGCGCATGGGTGCATGGGGGCATGGCGGAATGGGGGCATGGGCGCATGGGGGCATGGGAGGGAGCATGGGTGCATGGGTGCAGTGGGGGTGCTATGTTCCACCATGCAGCATGAGCGGCAGCATTCAGCATGTTGGGCAGCGTTGCACCCCAAACGCACCACATGCTATATGCTGAATGACACAGCATCCATGCTGTGGTGGCTGTGCAGCTTGCTCCAAGGCGCTTGTGCAAATGAAACCAGCATGTCGGATAGATGCCGCTCTCATGAGCCACACACTGGTCCTCATCACACACACGGCGTTGATTGCAATTTGCAATCACACACCACACCGCACTAGTGGGTGCGCATGCACAGAGAGGAGGAGTGGCAGCAGGGAGTGTGCAGATGACTGTTCCTTTGCACCTTATCAGCTCGTTTCCACCCCGTTCTGAACTCTTGAGTTGCCGTCACCCCAACACCCCCTCCCCGAACTCACTCCTCATCACCAATGGTGCACCCACTTATTGTCTCCTTCCCATCGACGCCCCTCATTCGTACGACAGGCCTCCTCCCCTCCCACTTCATCCCTCGCCCTCCTTCCCTTCCCACCGCATTTGCTTCACGCCATCACAATTTTCTGCGTGCCCCCAAACATTCCCTCCATCCCCCTCGCCTCCCCCTCTGCATGCTCAACCCCCCCGTAAACCTTCCCCCAGACATGGGCGCGTTTGAGGAGTGCTTTGGCCCCAACAGGGTCGTGTCGTTTGCTGCTTATAACGAGTCTGTCAAGGGCAGGGTGCGCGTGGGGCGGTTCATCTGCCACGTGCACGTCTACCAGGTGTGAGAATGAACCAACGCAATGCAATGCACGCTGCATTCATTCAGCATTCACTCCCACAGCCAATCCCGGGTGCGTTTTCTAATGTGTGATATTTGTGCCGCCTCAGTTTTGTTTGTTTTTCCGCCCAGAGTGTGCACGTGTGTCGTTACGTACACATGTTTGTGCCATCCTTGCGTTGCATGCCTTTCTCTCACCTTCCTAGCGCCCCTAGTTTCTCACCCCACCCCTCCCCCCCTCTCTCCCACCCAACCTAACTCTCAAACCACCCTGTCCCGTTGCTTACTGCTTCCTCTCCTCTCTCCAGTCCCTTCTCCTTCTTGCTCCTCTCCCTTTCCCACAACTCCCCTCTTTCCTCTTCTCTCCCCACCCCCTCTTCTCCCTCTCTTCCTCTCCTCCTCCCACCTTCCTCTCCTCCCCCTCTCTTCCTCTCCTTCTTCCCCCCTTCTCCACATCCTTTCTGTTCTCCACGCTTGCCTTAACTTCCTACTCGCCACTTCTTACTGATCTGGAGTGAGCATGCATTCTTTCCTGATCACTGCCTATGCAACCTCGCTCCCTTCCAACCCCTCCCCCTTCCCTCCGCTTCACAAACCACATTTTCCTCTCGTCCCTCCCCTTCCTCCCCCCTCACCCTCCCCTCTCCCTCCCACTCCCCCAACCTCCCCTCCCCCTCCCTTCAACTGCACTTCCCCTCCCATCCCAACCCGCTTCCAATCTCTCCGCTGCCCTCCCCTCACTTACCCTTCCCCCCTTTCCCTTCTCGCTCCCTGCCCCCCTTCTCACCCCCACCCACCACCAGACCGAGGCAACCTGTGACGACCTAATGCAGCGCTACGCCACCACACTCCACATGCAGTTCGCAAAAAAGGAGATAGCGCGGCGCCGCACGCCGGGCCCGTGGTTCAAGTACCCCGTGGGGGACTTCCTGCGCAAGTTCAACAGCGACCACCACGTCATCGCCTTCGGCAACATGTTTGGCGTCGGGGGGAGAGAGCTGCGCTTTCAGGGGGCCGCGCCGCTCGTGGTTTCCCCGCAGTGCCGCGGGCTGCTGCAACCCAGCCCGGCTATTCAGGTGCGAGTGGGGGTTGGGGGAGTGGGGGAACGGGGTCACGGGAGGGACTGGTTGAAGCGGGAAAGTGGGTTGGAAGAGGAAGGGGGGAGAGGTCACATCTGGGGTATGTGGACAGAGGGACTAGGGAGCAGGGTCCAGCTGGTTTTTGAGAATTCTCAAAAACATCTGGGGTATTTGGACAGAGGGACTAGGGAGCAGGGTCCAGGCACCAGGGAGCAGACGGCGGGGCAGCAGGTAGAGCTTTGAGTGGGAAGGGTATGATAGCTTTATTCTTAAATCATTAGCATTGTAAACTTCTGAGCTGACTTTTGAGTCGACTCAAAAGTAGTCTCAGATCATTTGCATTGTAAACTTCTGAGGCATAACGTGCAGCTGTCCTGTCGAGCGTGCCTTTCCCCAAAGGCATCAACAAAACCCACCATCTCAACCTAGGCTTCCACTCGCACCTGGCCCTTTCCCTCCCACACCCCACACACCCCCTCTCCATCACTTCTCCATCTCTCACCCGCCCCGCCGCCTACCCTCCCCTCTCCCCCGCCTCCCACCCTCCCATCGCCTCCACGCCCATCCTCCCTCTTCCCCTCCTCTCCCCCCCCAGCAAGCAGCAGTGGGGTTCGTGAACATGTACCTAGGCCCCAGCTACGCAGCAGTGCATCTGCGGCGGGGGGACTTCTTCCACCACTGCATCCACGGCAACGGCCGCCTGCGCCCCACGCCCTGCTACCAGCCGCTGCGCCAGGTGGCCTCCTGCCTGCACCGCCGCCTCCAGCACCTGCCGGGAGTCAGCATGGTGTTCGTGGCTAGCAATGCGGATGAGACTGAACGGAGGGTTCTCCGGGAGACATTGACGGCGCTGGTGGGTGGGAAGGGAGGGAAGGGAGGAGGATGCTTGGAGAATGGGGGAGGGGGAGGAGAGGAAGGGAGGGCAGGAGAAAAGAGGGGTGGGGGAGGGGGTTGGAGTGGCAGGTGGGTGTTTTGTCATGGATGAGCATGCTTGCCTCACACAATTGCACCACACACTACTGCAATCCGCTTCACACCTTCAATCGCACTTGCCACACGCCTCGCCATGGTGAACCCTGTATGCTCTCACGTCCAATCTCCCTTCCGAGTTCCACCAGTACCGTGAGTTCCCTTGGTGGAGTGTTGCGTTTAAAGTGCATGCTACTCTCCTTGAGCATCCCTGCCACCCTCCTTGCCACTCTCCCTGCCATGCTTTTTCTCACCATACAGACATGTGCTTCTGTTACCTTGACGGAGTAGCAAACAACGGAGGGCCATCGGATCCTCGTGTGCCTGCAAGTGAGGAAAAGCAAGCTATGTTTAACTGACTAGGAAAATCTAACCTTGCGGTCAGGCTGCTTCTTTGCCCCCCCCCACCAGACCCCCTCCTCCCCACTGCCCTTCTTTCCCCCCATCCCGCTCTCTCCATCACCCCCCTCCCCCCACAGGGTTCCTCCCAGACGCTCATCTCGCTGCCGCGCTCGCTGCAGGGCCACGCGTGGGCAGAGCCGTTGGAGCGGGCAGGCGTGGCGGGGAGCAGCGAGGTGGTGTCGTTCCTGGACAAGGCCATCTGCGCGCTCGCCCTGCAGTTCTACGGCACTGCTGGCTCCACCTTCTCCAGTGACATCATGCGGTGCGTGCTGCCGCTCTGCTCTGCTCTGCTCTGCTCTGCTCTGCTCTGCTCCGCTCTGCTCTGCTCTGCTCTGCTCCGCTCCGCTCTGCTCTGCTCTGCTCTGCTCTGCTCCGCTCCGCTCTGCTCTGCTCTGCTCTGCTCTGCTCTGCTCTGCTCCGCTCCGCTCTGCTCTGCTCTGCTCTGCTCTGCTCTGCTCTGCTCCGCTCCGCTCTGCTCTTCTCCGCTCCGCTCTGCTCTGCTCTGCTCTGCTCCGCTCCGCTCCGCTCTGCTCTGCTCTGCTCTGCTCTGCTCTGCTCGGCTCGGCTCGGCTCGGCTCGGCTCGGCTCTGCTCTGCTCGGCTCGGCTCGGCTCGGCTCTGCTCTGCTCTGCTCGGCTCGGCTCTGCTCTGCTCTGCTCTGCTCTGCTCATGGGTGTGGTCAAGGCTGGGTTTGTTTTTTTCTCTCTCACCACCTTATTCCTCCGCTGCACTTTCTGCTCCAGCTTTCGACTGTTAGAATGTTCTCCATCGACTCACTTCTAATCGACCCCCGTGCTCCTCACACCCCTAAATCTTCCCACTTGTTCTGCACCCTCCCCTGCCCTTTCCCTCATTTCACCCCCCTGACCCTTCCCGCTCCTGCCCTCTGCTCCTGTTATTTCCCCATTCCTGTTGCCCTTCCTCCATGCCATCCTTCCCCCCCCCCTCTCTTTGATCCCCCCTCCCTCCCTGCCATCGTGCTCATCTCCAGTCTCCGTGAATGGTGGAAGCAAGGGCTGTGTGAAACTTACATCTGCCCGGCCAATGAGCCTGCAGACTTTCTTCGCCTGCCCGAGCACAGCAACGCGACTGCCCCAGCGCCAAGCCCTGGGGCAGGGGACTCTTCCCTGCCTGCCGTTGTGTCAACGGGAGAGGGAACAGTGAATGTGTCTCCAAGGCAGCCGCAGGGGCAGAAGCAAGGGAAGGTGGCAGGGCAGCAGGATGGTCAGATTTCTGGTTCTGCTGCTGGTGCTGCTGCTGGTGCCGCTGCTGGTGCCGCTGCTGCTGCTGGTGCTGTTTCTGTTGGCGGTGCAGTGAGTGAAACTGATGAGGAGCTGAAGGGAAAAAGGCAAGAAAGAGTTGCAGGGAAAGGTGGAACAGGGCAAGAGTGAAGGTGGGAAGATGGCAGGAGCTAGTGGGAAGAAAGAGCGCAATGATGATGTGGTTCGGAGAGGGGGTGGGGGAAGGGAAAAAAAGCTAGAGAGAAAAGGCCAGAAACCATAACAAAGGTTGAGCATTCCCCTTGCTTAGCAAGCATGCAAATGTTGTTGCTCCTTGTGCTTGTGTGATTGGAAGAGCGTGTCGTCGTGAAGCAGGCTTACACAACGCCACATATAATGATTAGCTTCATTTGTTACATGTTTATAGCTACATATATTTTCAAGATTCCTTACGGTATCCGTAATTTTGAGCATAAACCGTAAACCCCCGGATATATTACCCCCCTCCCAAAATAAAGCAGCCATGGGTGGTTTATGCGGGGAGGGTGTTTTATTACGGTAGATGTACAAAGTGCTGTTTACTGTTCAGGCGCTTTTTTACTTTCAAGCGTTACCATACATATACTATGTAAGAAACCGAAATGATGATTGACTATTGTGGGTTGGGGTACATAAACCTGGGTTCTCGTTATCAGACCAATTTGGTCTGATGGTCTGAGTTTAAGACTTGATTTTTTGTATTCATCTGCTTCCTAAGAATCTGTGTTTGTTCTCATCTGATCAGTAAGACAAGCGTTTCAGGTTCGTATGATTTTCCAGACCATGTAGAAATCTTAATCTGAATATACAAACATCGAGTTCGGTTTCGTCTGAAACCGACATCTTGACCCACTAGGCCATATGCCCAGTGGACCAGAGGATAGGACCACAGGTACAGCCATTTGCTGCCCTGTAACAGCACGCGCATTCAATACGCGTGGCTTATAGCAGCCTCGCTGTCATGTAACTGCGGCATATGCTGCAGATCGCAACTGTTGCCCCACCGATTGCGTCGACCTCTGCTGCGGTTCCTTTGCCCGAAGGCGATGCTCCAATCTCGGTAAATGGCGATCATTCCGTGCCAGCAACCGCTACCCCTACTACGGTAGTATCCACTCGGATGCCAGACAACGGTGCCAATAAGAGCATCCCTGCAGTATCTGTCGCTACCACCTATCTCAGTGCTAACCCCGTCTTGCCCGACGATTTTTTTTTCGTCATATTTATCAGACTAGAAAAATGTTTTCAGCTTATAATGCAGACCATGAAAATTTCGTCGTTCGAGCATAAGACGGGGGAATTTTTTTTTTTTCAGGGTACTGTCAGACAGCCCCAAAACCTAGCGAGAGCCCTGACATAAACCTAACCCTAACTGCTGTACCCCATATGACACGCATCACTAAAGGCTACAACATTTGACACACCCCCATAGCCTAAGTGAGGGGTGTCAAGCAAAACCAAAACCGTACGGTCACAAGACAAGTCACGAAGAAACAAAGCTCAGGGTGGATCACAACGTCACCACACAGTTTGAGCACTAGCAAAAGAGCCACAAGGCACAGAGGTATATGCAAAGCGTACAAACAAAGCAAGCAGAGAACACAGGTCTACACAGGACGAGAACATCTGTCAACGAGACCTAACTGCAGACTACCCTGTGGTGGTGACAAGACGGAAGGGCCTTGGTGAAGATGTCTGCAGTGTTGGCCTCGGACTCGACAAAGTCCAAGCGAACCTGACCATGCCTCTGCAACTCTCGCAGAAGAAAGTACATGACGCTGATGTGTTTCACTTTGCTCTCCAGTCGAGGCTCTCGACAGAGGAGAATCGTCGCCTTGTTGTCAGTAAACAAGGTCGGTGCAGAGCTCGGCCGCTCACCAAGGTCGGTGAGCAAGAAGGTCAACCAACGCATCTCTTGTGCAACCATGGATCCCACGTAGATTTCAGCCTCAACGGTAGAGGCCGAGACAGAGGAGGAACGCGTGGACCTCCACGAAACAGCTCCAGAGCCCATGCTGAAGCAGTATTCCTGAGTAGATCTGTGAGTTTGACGTCGTCAACGTTAGAAGAGTCACAGTGACGAGTAAGTACGGCAAACTGTCTCCCTCCAAGTACCAGCCCCACGCCTGATGTCGTCGCTAGGTACTTTGCCACCCTCACAGCAGCTGTCTAGTGAACAGGACGGTGTCTCCCTGGCGCAACAAAGCGAGCAAGGATGCTGAGAGGGAAGGCGAGGTCCGGGCGAGTACACGTCATCAGGTACATGAGACAATACACCAGCTCTGCGTAAGGACCACTAGGCTCAAACGGCTCGTCAGGAAAGGGACCAATGAGTCTGTAGTCAACTGCAAGAGGTGTGCGCTGTACGGTGGAGTGCTGAAGCTCGAACCTCTGAAGGACCTGCTGCACCATGTGTGACTGTAAGAATGTAATGGTGCGAGCAGCTCTGTCCCTGGTGATCTGCAGGCCTATGTAGTGGCGCAGCTCACCAAGATCAGTGCACGTGTGTCTCTTCTGCAGTTTGGACCTCACGTTAGCCAAAGCAACCCTGTCAGCAGTGGCGAAGACCAGGTCGTCGACGTAGACCAGTACAGAGAACAGTGTAGAGCCACGGCGAACGAACAGCGACGGGTCGGCAGAAGACGGCTAGAGACCAAGGTCAAATAGGGTAGAGCGAAGAGTGTCGTGCCACTCACGAGGTGCCTGACGGAGACCGTAGACCAGTCGCCTCAACCTCCATTAGGTCCCAGGAGGGAAAGTGCCAGTGAAGGCAGAGGGACGACGCAGCCAGACCTCCTCGTGTAGGCTACCCTGAAGGAAGGCAGTTTAAAAGTCGAGAGAGTGTAACTCGTAGTCTCTCTGTGCTCCTACACGCAGTAGCACCTGAAGAGTGGTCATCTTCGGGGTAGGCGCGAAGGTCTGAAAGAAGTCAACTCCCTCGCACTGACGAAAACCTCTAGCACGCCTTGAAGATCGGTGGAGATCCCGGTTGCCGCTTCACCCTAAAGATCAACATGCCATCGACTATATTCGCCCTGGGGGGGAGGGGGGGGGGGGGGAACCTCGTCAACGTAGGTGCCTGTGGATCTGTAGGAGGCCATCTTTGCGTCCATGGCAGCTCTCCACTGAGAGGCCCAAGGCCCTGACACTGCCTTAGCGTAAGTGCGAGGAGTCGGTATGTCAAGGGCGTCGGGGTCTCCCTCAAGGGCGAGCAGCATGGCACAGAGATGAGGGGAAGCGGCTGCCAGGAACTCCAGCTCAAACAACCTGTCCTCTAAGGCGTATTCATCCTTGACCTAGCCTTCCAGTCTTCCTTCAGGTGGGTCCGCGAACATGTCTTCCCAGCTGCTTGGGAAGCGGTATTCGCAATTGATTTGAGGTGGTCCATGTCGCACCATGTACGATAACACCTTCCTCTTTCCCTTGTCACTTGCAGAGATGCGCGCCGGAGCTTGAGAAGTGCTGGCAACGGCGGGCGAGGACACGGTCTGGTTGCGCGTTGGTGCTCCAGCAGGTTGCTGGTAAGACGCTCCTCCTTGTTTCCTTTGCCCGTAATTGTTGTTGCCGTTCAGCTTCCAGCACTCATTGATAGTGTGTCTGGTCTTCTTGCAATACTTACAAAACAGCCATTTCTTGTCAGGAGGTCCTTCCACATTTGTGTAATATGCAATATTTTCCCCTTCTTGTTGCCTCTTTCATTGTACAGGTCGATTTCCTTTTGTTCGTAGTGAAGCAAGGCGCAGAGCAAAGTTTTGTTGAGTGTGCCTTGGGTGCGAAGAAGCGATTTGCAGTGGCGCCAGTCCGGGCTCAATCTAGCGAGAATGATAATGACGAACATATCGCACGGAAGTTTCTGCTGTTCTTCTTTAATTGATCCCTCAGGTTTCTGCAGCGATTGATGTATGGCCCGGCCTTTTCTCCGGGGAACATTTTGACATTGTTCAGTTGTTTGAGCAGGCGACTAAGCGTCACTGAGTCTGTTGCCATGTGGCATGTGCGCAGGTGCTCCCAGGATTGTTGCGCAGGCGCCCACTTGTTCTTAAAGGGACGAATGCTGGGTTGTTCTTCATGCGACAAGTTTCGGATTAAGACGGTGAAGGCCAACAGCGATTCATTGTAGTATTGTATCTTCTCTTGAGGTGAGCTGATGACCGGAAAGGGTAAGGATCCGTCGTCTTACATCCAGATCTGTGCGCCTTAAGCTAGGAGTTTGAATACAAAGCTCAAGGTGTAAAAATTCTTCCCTTCGAAGGGTTTGGTTGTTCTGAGCTTCGATGTTGAGAGAAACTTGCTTTGCATTGATACCACTGCCTCGTAATGCACTTGCTGTGCTTGTGCAGATCCTTGGGCCCCGCGATTGTCGAAGGTGAATGATCGCTTAGAATGAGCTCTTTGTGGGTCGGAAGGTCTACGGGCGTAACTAGAGCCGTTAATGCTCATCGGCTAATGGCTCTCCAGAGCGCTGTGTCAAACATTGCATGTTTATATTGTCTAGGCTGTAGTGGGTTACACCTTAGGGGGTACACAAAGTTAGGGTTTCCTACTTGTACCAAACTCTGTTCTAGTTCATTCATTCCTGTTCAGTTATTTCTGACATGGTTTCAGAGCAGGTCCTTCGCTAGGACTGTTCTTAGGGCCCACCGACTTACCTACCTGCTTACCTTCGCTTCTTTTCGGCCCCGATGGCCCCGTCGATCTAGCACGATCTAGCGGCCCTGCGGCCCCTTCGAATTTTTTTTTTTTTTAGCGGCCTCTCACGGCCCCCGTCGCGTCGCCCCTTAGCGCCCCGATCGGCCCCGTCACGCCGCCCGCGAACCGCACAGCGCGCCGCGCTCACAGCCCGCGAACCGCCCACGCACAGCCCGCGAACCGCCTGCGCAGCCCGCGACCAGCCCGCGCAGCCCGCGCACAGCCCGCGAACTGCCCGCGAGCAGCCCGCGACCTGCCCGCGAACCCCCGCGAGCCGCCCGCGACCCGCTTACGCAGCCCGCGAGCAGCCCGCGCAGCCCGCGCTGAGCCTGCGCGGCTCGTGCGCTGACCGCCGCCGGCCCGCACGCTGCCCGCACTGCTCCCGGCCCGCCGCTGCTGAGCCCGCAGCCGCCCGCGCACCGCCTCTGCTGAGCCCGCCGCCG